ATGTGTGTGGTACCTGCTCTAAAGTATTTCTCCTCTCCCACTCCAGGTTCTCTAAAATTTCCCACAGTTCAGTCTATTTAGGCTCTGATATTGCCTCTCTTCTCTCTGTCATAATTCTATGCTACGTATCAATTTAATCTCTCTGGTTTCTTTCTTTTACCTGTTCTGTCACTACCCCAATTCCCCTCCCACCTCCCACTAGAAGCTGACCCAGCAAACAGCAATGCTTTCTTGGGTGGGGGATTGGATAAAAGGTTTACATTTGAAATTCATTTCGTTTGTTCTGACACCAGTGCAAAGAAAAACAGCACATCAATTTGAGAGCTAAACATATAACATCGATTTGAAATTTTATATTTCTTGACTAACTCGTCTAATAATTTAACAGTTCACACCTGATTAATTTGCTAAAATGAACTGTTTACACATATTAGTCAACACATAGTTGCTTTGGATCATTCTCATCATATTAACTCACTATTCATAACAAACACACACACACATCCCACCACTACCACCCTTTTAATGTTTAATTTTTTATTTTAATTGAACCAATCTTTTACTCTAAGTACCGTGGTACAGAGCTTGATCCAGGAAGGAAGAGCTTTAAGCTTCAGGCAGATGGAAAATTAATTTGAGTAAAAGCATCTCGGCATCAGGGAAAGTTTGGCACATCTAAATCCTGTAAGTACTTAGCCTCTCTTCTTTTATCACCATTAAAACCTGGAAACCAAACCTCCAGGGAAAATGTCATGGTGGGGTACGTGGGGCAGGGCACATTGGTAAATGTAAGTTTAAGAAGCCTTCAGTCTTTGTTCCCACAGCAGGGGAGCCCTATATGCCACCTGACATGAGGCCAGGGACATGGTCATGCACATACATGGATTTCAGAATGTGCCAGTCCAGAGTCCTGGAAGCCAGTAATCCCAGGAATGATTGCTGCCAAAACCTGCCTGGGTTTTAAGAGCAAAGAGAACAAACAGCACAGGCCCATTAAACCTGCAAAGGTCGTTCTGAAGGTATCCATCAGAAGTAAGAAAAACTTGAACTTGATAAGTCAACAAGTGGCTTTCAGGTGACTGCATTAAGAGTTTCCTATTTGGGGCAGGACGTTTGTCTTTCCAGGAACAATGATCACTCATTGTAAACAGATTACAATCAACCGATCGATCAACAGTGACTAGAAACACCCACAGAAAAAGCCTCTGGACACAGAAGAAGTACCAGACTGGGAGTTGGGAGACCATTCTTTTCCTGGCTTTGTCATCAATTACCTGTGTGACCTTGGCCTTAAAGACACCTTTCAGGTCTAATATTCTCTGACACGAAAACCTTCATAGTCCACGATTTGAAACCAACGTACACATGAAAACATTACATAAGAGAGTGAACAACAGTGACATTTCCTGGCGCTGGGCTTTGGTTTCATCATTTGTAAAATGAGTAGGAGGAGAAGGGGGATTAACATCTCAAGTGTGGTCCAGTTTAAATGTGTGTGTCTGTTTTTACAGAAAGCACCATAACAGAAACTCCGTGTAAAGAAGCATTAAAAAATACCTTCTGCCCGCAAGAGGGTTCCAGCCCAGATAGCTAGGAAAGATTTACACATACACACACACACAATCAAATAATTTATGAACAAAAATTTGACGATGTGATGTGTGTCAATATTAGCAAGCACTGATTGTTTGGAAATGGCTGTTAGAAATAATAGTAAAGTATAAAAAATGCGAAATGTGTAACAGAAAACAATGTGAAAGATATTTGTTCTGCATTCCCGACCTGGCTCCCGGCCCTACTGTGTACTGGGTCTTAACTTTTACAGGTGAATCCTGTAATCCATATTTGCATGTAGCTCCAAGCACTGCAATCAGTGCCCTGGCTTAGGGAATGTGAAATGACATGGCAGTAGTTCTCTGTCACAGTGAAGTGTTGCTCCTGCTACTTGTCTTGAAGTTTCCCTTGCCTCCCACCTCATTCATTCATTTAACAGAGAAGGTAGGTGCTTTGTTAGGTGCTGGGAGTGCAAAGGAAAGTAAGTCTTAAACATCACTTCCGTAAGATGTCAAATTACATGATGCCTCAGTGTAGGGTCCCATAGTTCCCTGGATCTCTCTTGAATTCCATACTAACTTGTTGCATGTATCAATAGTTCATTATTTTCTTATTGCTGACTAGTATTACAAGGTATAGATGTACCCGAGTTTGTTGAACCATTCACTCATTGAATGGCACTTGGGTTTTATTTTCTAGTTTTCTGCTATGAACACTTGTATATAGGGTTTTGTGTGAACATTAAGTTTACATTTCTCTGGGATAAATGCCAAAGAATGCAGCCGCTAGGTTGTATGGCAAGTACGTGTTCGTTTTGTAAGAAACAGCAAAACTATTTTCCAGAGTGGCTGTGTTACTCTACATTCTCACAATGAATGAATGAAAGAGCCAGTCTCTCTATCTTTTCCAGCATTTGGTAAAATCACTATTTTTTATTTTAGCTGTTCTTGTAGGTTTGTAGTGATATCTCATTGTAATTTAATTTGCATTTCCCTGATGAGTAATGATGTTGACAATCTTTTCATGTTTCTTTTGCTGTCCATATCTCTTTTATTTCACTTCATAATTGGATTGTTTTACTGTTGAGTTTAGAGATTTTTACATTTCAAAATATAAGATCTTTGTTAGGTGATTTATAAACATTTTCTTCCACTCTCTAGCATGTTTTCTTATTTTCTGTTAAGAGTGTCTTTTGAAAACTGAGGTTTCTAATTTTCATGAAGTTTCATTCATTTTTCCATTATGAATTGTGCTTTTGGTGTCATGTCTTATAACTCTTCACCTAGCCCTAGGTCCTGAAGATGTTCTTTTATTTTTTTTCAAAAGTTGTATAGTTTTGTATTCTACATGTAAATCCATGATGCATTTTTGAATTAATTTTTCCATATGATGCGAGTTTTAGATTGAGTTCATTTTCTTTTTTTTTTTTTTTTTTTTTTTTTGAGACTGAGTCTTGCTCTGTCGCCCGGACTGGAGTGCAGTGGCCGGATCTCAGCTCACTGCAAGCTCCGCCTCCCGGGTTTACGCCATTCTCCTGCCTCAGCCTCCGGAGTAGCTGGGACTACAGGCGCCCGCCACCTCGCCCGGCTAGTTTTTTGTATTTTTAGTAGAGACGGGGTGTCACCGTGTTAGCCAGGATGGTCTCGATCTCCTGACCTCGTGATCCACCCGTCTCGGCCTCCCAAAGTGCTGGGATTACAGGCTTGAGCCACCGCGCCCGGCCGAGTTCATTTTCTTTGCCCAAGGATATCCAATTGGTCCAGCACCATTTGTTGAAAAGACCATCTTTCTTCCTCCATTGGGTTGTTTTGCACCAGCAATCAACATATTTTAAAATTGACTTCCACAAAAGCTGTGGTTCTGGCCCTCACAGAGCTCACAATCTCCAGAGGGAAACAGCAACAGTCATAGCACTTTAAGATAAAAGCTAGAACAGGGGTCTGCACAGGGTGCTGAGGAAGCGAAGGAGGCTATACCGCAGTAATGGGCTTCCTGTCCACTTCCTTGCATCCACAACTCCCTGTGGGTAACTGTCTGTCCTTGAAGTCTGCTTGTAGACCTTCCTGGATTTCTCCTCTTTTGCCTCAGCTTAGAATAGTCGGATCTAACCAGCTGCATTGGAACAATGGCTACTGAACTATGCTCGCAGGTTTTTACTCCAGATCCCTGCCACTCCAGGTCAACTAGACTCTCATTCTAGGTCTGCTTCAGTCTTGGCCATCTAGTGTCACTTCACATACTGTATTTCAATTTTTTGTTTGTTTTGTTTTGTTTGTTTGTTTTTTGAGGCTGAGTCTCACTCTGTCACCCACACTGGAGTGCAGTAGCGCGATCTTGGCTCACTGCAACCTCTGCCTCCTGGGTTCAAGTGATTTTCCTGCCTCAGCCTACCCAGTAGCTGAGATTAGAGGCTCAAACCACCATGCCTGGTTAATTTTGTATTTTTAGTAAAGACAGAGTGTCACCATGTTGGTCAGGCTGGTCTTGATCTTCTGACCTCAAGTGATCCCCCTGCCTCAGCCTCCCAAAGTGTCGGGATTAAAGGCATGAGCCACCTCGCCCAGCCACTGTATTCCAATGTGTAAGACCCATGGTTTCTCCCCATTTTGTTTGGGGTTTCCTGCCCAGACCAAGGACATCAGGATGGAGTAAAGCAGAGAGATATGCATTTTCCCATGAGTTGGTGCTGTGCAGGGAACCAGTCAGGTATATTCTAACTCCAGATTTAGGAGACAGTAGATAGAGAAGAAAGGGGTGTTTCTTGCTAGATTGACAGCCTACTTCATTTGAGCTCATGGGTCCTTAATGTGTAAAATGTACATTAATAACAATAATAGCAACAACAATAATCCATTATGTGGCTTAAACAATCTAAAGGGTTGGTCTACATAATTAAATGGATTAGCCGCAGAATTGCTCCACTCTCCCCATCTGAGGATTTGTTGGGCACTGATCACATTAAGCTATCTCTGCTTAACTATTTATGATCTGAACTCCTTTGAAGAAAACTCACCCTAAAACAACTAGTAGGGGTCCTGGCATGGGGGAGTTTCTCTTCTATGGTGACAGGGTCTGCTAGGAACTGAGCAATAATTTTTTTTTTTTTGGCCAGGCTAATAGCTGGAAATGTGATTCATCAATTAAAGACTGGAAACACTGGTCTCTTTCATAACTCCAAATTCTCAGAATGTTAATCAAGCAGAGTCATCCTATTTCCCTGGCAGGCCTGGCATAGCATCAAGACTTAAAAGGAAAATTCTAAACATGACCTGTTAGCAGTGAAGAACTTTCTTTTTTAATAAGATGTATCCATTAATGAAGCTTTCCTGCTTTGGGACGTGTGCTAATTAATCGTAAATGGGGGAGATGATCCCTGTTATGGCAATGCCAGCTGCTGTAACATACAAACTCCAAAATGTTAATAGCTTAACAAAATTGAAATGTACCTCTTGCTCCCATACATGAGTGTTTCTACTTAAAGGGAAGTTCTAAGTAGTAATTCAGGAACTCAGGCTCCTTCTACCTTGGAGCTCCTCCAGCTTCAATATGTGGCTTCCAAAATTGTTGACCTGAGGGAAGAGCACAGAGGATGGCAATTAGGTGTTTTTATGGGCCAGGCCTGCAAGTAGCTCAGATCATTTCTGCTCATATTCTATTAGGTAGAATCTGGTCTCACGGCCTCACTAATTTCAAGAGTGTCTGGGAAATGTGGCAAATCTCTGTGTCCAGGAGAAAGAGGATCAGGTTTGGTGAACACACTATGGTGTCTGACACAGTCCTGAAGTAACTGCATGTCAGTGGTCTAAAACCAGATATGTGATTTGCAGAATAACTGGAGATCTTCCAGGGTATATAGTCCCATATACTCTAGCTTGTTCAACACGATGATGATGATAATGAGAGTAGCAGTTCCTGATGAGCCAGTGAGCCCATCACAAAATTTGTTCAATTGTCTTGCTTCTTTCAATCTGTACATGAGTGAGTGTATAAATTGGGGACATATTTCCTTTATCATTGAAATAAATTAATGATAAATGGCCATTAGTGTGATTCTCATATCTTCACCCAGAACACTGTGCATGAGTTAAGCAATCCTTTAGAAAGGTAATGTAGTGTAGTAGCTACAAACATAACCTTGAATTATACCTGGGTTCAAATTCTGCCATATATTAGTTGTATTAATTAATACTTCTTAATTGCAAATAATCAACTTTAGCTAGCTTATGCTAAAATGGGGGAAATTATTATAGGACTACCTTGTGGAATTCATGGGTAGAAATACAGCTAGAGCCCAAAAGGGCCATAAATTAGGATCTGCAAGGCTGTCATGACACCTCTCACCCCTGCTTCTCTCTTTGCAGCTGCTTCACTCTCATATTGTCTGCCTCTGATGCTTCTCCAACCGCATTATCAGAATCTACTTCTCCAAGCCTGTCAAGCCTATATGTTCCAGCCATAAGCATGGACTTGCAGTGTCTGAATTCCAGCTTCATATTTCTAGGAGAAAAAAATTTGTTTGGCTCAGCTTGGGTGATACATTCATTGCTGGCCCCAATCAATAATGAGGTTCTGTCCAAAAAATCTCTTTCAGAGACCAGCTTTTTTAGATGTGGGGTTAGTTCTTAGGAGACAGAGAAAGAGAGACAGAACTATGCTAGCAAGTATCTTACCTCTCAGAGCCTCCTTTTCTTCATCTGTAAAATGGAGATAACTACCAAACCCAAAGATTATTTTCAGGACTAAATGAAACAATGTATACAAAGTCTAACATAGGACAAAGCACAAAGGATATTTAATAAACAATGAATGAATGGATGTATATAAACTAACTCCATTTATCAAAGACTGCAAGCTCAAGATAAAGTTGGATAAATAGGCAAAGTTCTGATACGAAGGTTACTGGGTTTCAATGTTATGCAACCGCATTGCTCGTGCTGCAGTCCTGAAAACCTGAGGGTGTTATGCATTAAACAATAAAAATATTAGGAATTTAAACTCTAATATAGATTTGCAGGCTAGCCAGATTCCACATCTGAGCTTTTAAACCGGAATTTATGGAAGTGCAAATACACCTATTACAAAAAAGGAAACTGTTATTGCTAACTCATATGATTTAATATACAATGGGTCAAGCAGATAGCAGTTTTAGAAAAACAATTCATTCCCAGGCCTCCAGACTGCCACTTAGTTGGAAGTTCCTACCCACGGCACTCTTTACTGCCATGTTTATTACTCTGATTTTCCATGCAAGCAAAATAATTAGAGGCAGAATTCCATCAAACTCTATGATGAACTCCATTTGGCTAAAACGATAGACAGCTTAGGTTTCCCTTCGTAACATCTACCACAATATGAGAGTCTCCTATGAAAACAAAAAGCAGGAACCTCCAAAGCCATAAAAGTCTTGTTCAGAGATATTTCTGAGTTATCTCTGTAGTATTTTCATATTATCATGGAGTGTCAATATGGAAAATATATTCCTCCCTAAAAACATCTGCTATGCTTCCCTTCCATGAGAAAGATAACCCTAAAATTCACTTTCTGAAGACACATGAGGATTTGGCAGCCAAGCAAACATCTTTATTGCTATTCCAATCCCAAAGGAACTGGAGCAATTATTCATACTCATCCAACACACTTGCAATCGAAGGCCCCACAGGAGGCCCCTATCACATCAGTAACACAATTGTCGCTATTTGAAATGAACATATAAACGGAGGAGGTGGGGATTACAGAGTTTCTTTTTTTCCCACTCTTGTTGCCCAGGCTGGAGTGCAATGGCGTAATCTCAGCTCACTGCAACCTCCGCCTCCCGGGTTCAAGGGATTTTCCTGCCTCAGCCTCCTGAGTAGCTGGGATGACAGGCGCCTGCCACCATGCCTGGCTAATTTTTGTATGTTTAGTAAAGACGGGGTTTTGGCATGTTAGCCAGGCTGATGTCGAACTCCTGACCTCAGGTGATCCACCTACCCCCGCCTCCCAAATTGCTGGGATTACAGGCGTCAGCCACGGCGCCTGGTCCAGAGTTACAAAAAATATATGGAGCCATTTCCCTCTCAAGGGCATGGAACTTAATTCCTCTCCACTTGAGAATGGGGGGCACTTAGTGACTCACATCCAAAGACTAGGTTACGGAAAGGGAAAAAATAGCAACTTTACAACAGAGAAATGTGGCAGACACCAGCTTAGCCAAATGATCAAAGTTAACACCACCCGTGATGAGTAACAATGTCACATACCCTTGTTACGATGGGTTGAGAAGAGTACCTCACCTTGTGTTATTGTTTCCAATAAACTTAGAGTTCATAGTCTAAATATGAGGAGAATATTCGACATACCTAAATTGAGGGACATTCCTCAAAATAGCTGACTAGTACTCTTGAAAACTGTCAATGTCATCAGAAACAAAGAAAGAGAAACTACTACAAGTCAGAGGAGACTAAAGAGACATGATAACAAAATGCAATGTGGTATCGTGGATGGAATCCTTACACAGAAAGAGAATATACTATTGGAAAAACCAGTGACATTTGAATACAGTCTATAGGTGATATTAACATTACAAAAAGTTAGGTGAAGAGTATATGGGAAGTCTCTGTACTAGCTTGTAAATGTAAAATTATTTTAAAAATTTGAATAGCAATACTATTCCTTACAAATAACCACAATTAAATTTTCTTTCTCAGTTCATTCTTGGCTCAGCAATTTGCTTTTATCATTATGTCTCCCTCCCAACTGAAATATGACCTAGAAATTCTGACTCAAACTTCTGGTATGATCAGAAAGTTGCTAGAACTTGATGGCAGCCCTGAAGCTTGTACCCAAGGGTCTGTTCTTTGCAGTACACAGTAATATTTCAGAGTACCTATATAGACCTTTCCATGAGACTCTAAACCTATCCTTCGTAGAAAACACAAATTCTAGCCTATAGCTAGAAGCAAACATCATGAGCCATCATCCTCCCAGGATCAAAAAGTCAAAGCTATTTTCAACTTCTCACTCTTCTCATTCTCCACATCCTAATGGTCGTCAGGGATTCTCCATCTGAAATGGCTCTTGCAGTGGTCCACGCATCTTCAATCCTATTGCTAATGCCATGCACAGGGTCTCGTTGTATCTCTCCCGGGTCAGAGAAATAGCCCAATCTGTGATTCTCTTTCTACTCCACTGCCACAAACCTTCCCAGGCTTCCCTCTGCATAAAAATAAACTTCATACTCTTCAGCTAGGCATTCCAGGTCTTTTGCCATCTGATCCCAGAATATTTTCTCACCTTGTTTCTCTTTACCCTTTATTCAACTCCAGTAGCCACCTTTCCATTTTCTAAACACTCTTCAATGTTTAGCCTTTATAAATCTGCTTATGCTGAACATTCTAACTGGAATCTCCTATCTTACTTCACTATGTTTATTGAAGTCTCATCCACCTCGACTCAGACCTCAACCTCCCCACAAGACTTCCCATAATCACTTCAGTTAGTAATTTCTTTTCTCATCTCTCCAGATACGTATTACCTACTGTGACATATCAGGTGTTTGAATCAATTGTTAAGCTATTAAAATATTGATATTAAAAGTCATCATGAAAATGAAAATTTCATTATTCATTGGTTGGTAGGTCTCTGTTTAAATAAAATTCTGGATGCCAGTAACAAAATCCTGGTATGCCTCATGGGGGAACATAAGTCAATAAGACTTTGGACTAAAACTTCTAAAAGTAAATTGCAAAAAAATAGATTAGTGTTGAATTTCTTATTTGCAACATACAGTAGCTAGAACAATATTCATAATTTAGACAAAAGGACTATAATCTAAGAATCTTACACTTATGAATGCAAATAGAGTACAAAAAGTTTTAAAGTCATGCAGTGATTAAAAAAGTATACCACCTGTGGCAGGCGCCTGTAGTCCCAGCTACTCGAGAGGCTGATACAGGAGAATGGTGTCAACCCAGGAGGCAGAGCTTGTTGTGAGCTGAAATCACACCACTGCACTGCAGCCTGGGTGAAAGAGTGAGACTCAGTCTCAAAAAAAAAAAAAAAAAAAAAAAAAAAAAGTCTTCATCCAACTCTTGGTTGAAACTGACAGAAACTCAACTAATATACTTACATGTCCATCGATAGACTTCAGACATGTACTGATATAGGTACCTCAGTGAATATCAACTTTGTATTAGTTCTGTCAAAGAAATGTTGAAAAAGTTCATATATATGAGACATATGAAAACCAAACAACAGGGGGCAAAATTAACATCAGATGAAGTAAAATTCGGAGCAAAAGGCTTAATTAGAACAGTATTTTTTAAAATTATACTTAAGTTCTAGGGTACATGTGCACAATATGCAGGTTTGTTACATATGTATACACGTGCCATGTTGGTGTGCTGCACCCATTAACTCGTCATTTACATTAGGTGTATCTCCTAATACTATCCCTCCCACCTCCCCCAACCCCACAACAGGCCCTGGTGTATGATGTTCCCCATTCTGTGTCCAAGTGTTCTCATTGTTCAGTTCTCACCTATGAGTGAGAACATGTGGTGTTTGGTTTTCTGTCCTTGCAATAGTTTGC